TTGGGGGGACAGGGAACCAGCAGGGGTTGGATGGGGTGGCGAGGACCAGTCAGGGGTGGGGGTTCTGGGGGGCTGTTGGGGGGACAGGGAACCAGCAGGGGTTGGATGGGGTGGCGAGGACCAGTCAGGGGTGGGGGTTCTGGGGGGCTGTTGGGGGGACAGGGAACCGGGGGGGGTTGGATGGGGCAGGAGTCCCGGGGGGGGCCATCGGGGGCGAGGAGCAGGAGGGGTCGGATGGGGGTGGGGCTGGGCCATGCCTGGCTGTTTGGGGAGGCACAGCCTTCCCTAGCCAGCCCTCCATACAGTTTCGGAAACCCGATGCTGCCCTCAGGCCACAAAGTTTGCCGGCCCCTGTTTTAATAGGTTCTTTCTGTCTCGGTGTTGAAGTTTTTGTTTGTGGGCAGGTAGGGGCCGGCAAACTTTGTGGCCTGAGGTCAGTTCAGACTTCGCAGTTTCCACTGAAGAAACGGCTCTGCAATCTCTGTGTGATTAGCAAAGCGGAAAGGCACAAAGTCTGTCCGGAGATAGTCACCATGTAAACATTGTAACACCCACAATGCTGTAAATGTAGGCGTTTGAGCCCTGTGGAAATCAGCTGAGCTTGTTTATAATCTTCACAACACTCCTACAATAACGACTGCAGAGGAGTCACAAGAGAATTGGGTGTGTTTAATGTATACTGCGAAGTATTTGCTCCAGCGGATACAGAATTCACCTCTAGAGCAGCTGATATGATTTTCTTTTGTGCTTTCAGTGACACGCAGGGGCTTTAATCATGAGCAACCCTTTTGCATGGATTGCAGAGCCGCTAAACCCCAACCAGCCTGCGAAGAAGTTCTTCAATCTGAACAAATTGGGAGATGCGAGATACGGTATGTTGGCAGCATTCGGAAGGAACTGCCTGGTACGTGTGTACTCGGGCTGTGGTGGGCATTGGAAATAACTATGGGAAGGCACTGCAGCTCTAGATGATACTTGATGATTTGTGGGCACAGAAACATGGGTACAAATTCAAAAGCCATTCCTTGAAGATCAATTTCTAATCATGTTTTTGGGGTACTAGCATCTAGGCTTATTTAATTTCCTGTTATGACGAGGTTCTTTTTTCTAAACTTGGACTGCACATTGGTCATTTTATGTGGTAGTTGAGTACTTCCTACGGGTGAGGTGTATCCCCCGGGCTGGGCATGAAGGTCTAGCCAGATCAGTGGAAGGACAAGTTTCGCCCATGCTGCCTTGATAATGTGATGGACTTGATAAGAGTGTGTGATGGCAAGATGTATGCCACCAATAAAGATGTGTGAAATCCTGGCCCCATTATAGTCAATGTCAAGGCTCCCATTGACTTTAGTGGAGCCAGAACTTTGCTACCCAAAAGGTGAAAGGACACAGCCACACCCAGATATCTGGAAACTTCATCTAAAAGGTGAAAACCAATCTGCTTTCTGTCTCTTTCCCCCAGGACGTTTGCCATTTTCTATCAGGGTTCTCCTGGAGGCAGCCGTCCGCAACTGTGACGAGTTCCTAGTGAAGAAGGAAGATGTTGAGAATATCCTCAACTGGAATGTGATGCAGAGCAAGAATGTCGAAGTGCCATTTAATCCTGCACGAGTTATTCTGCAGGATTTAACGTGAGTTGAATGCTTCCTAAGACTAGGGAAAAGGGATTGTAAAAACCACAACCATTCGCAGTGGGCAAAGCAGAGGGGCGTAGAGGGTGAATGCGGTGCCATGTTATTCTAAACATACTGGATGTCTAGTTGGCAGAGCTCCTTTAAGCAAACAGTGGTCATTTTAAAAGTACTTCATCAAAAATCCACTGTCCTTTGGACCTCGGACCCAGGTGATAAGAAGGAATGCAGCACAGCCTTGGTGTTCTCCACGTTACTGGACTACAGATTCATTCCATTTCTCACTCTAGCAAATAATGCATTGCCTGGCATTCTCCAAAATGCACCACAGGCACTGAGGGCTCAATCATGCTCACTTTTGGAAGTCAGTGGCAAAACTGTCATCACCTCTGTTGGGAACAGCGTTGGGGTCTTAACTAGCTCACATCCTGGGAGGTGTGCGGTATGGTGACCGCTTTACAGATGGAGACAGTGAAGCACAGAGAGGTTGACCTATACTTTCTAAAGAGCTCAGTTCCTATTTAGACACCTAAATAAATGTCCGGGGTCGCTGCTGATCTCCTAAAATCTGTCCGTAAATGTCACCGTGGGAGCTGCTGAGTGCTGCGCTTTCTTGAAAAGATTAGCACTTGTATCGGTGCCTAACTGGGAGTGAGCTGTACTGAAAATCTGGCTCTTGGCACAAGGCCCCATAGTGAGTAAATTGCTAGTTTAGGATTCAAATTTTGAGGGTTCCTGATTTTCAGCCCTGTGCGTTCTGTAATTCACTGGCCTACATCACCTTGAGTGCTTCTGGGTACATAAATGCATGTGTTCTGGTGTCACTCCCTCAATTCCCGTAATGTTGAAAATAACTGCCCGGTTTCTTCTCTTCTGTATCAACCAGTTAGCTCATAATATCAGTTGCTTTCTTTGCTGTATATAGTCTGGGGAAATTGAAATGCACCCACTGTACATCACACTCACTACATTCAGATGCATATTTTCTTAGATCACAGGAACTGCCATAATATAAACGTGAGCTGTGTTGGTTGGAGTATTGTCTGTCTGTAAACATTTAGGATTGCAAAGAAGAAAAGCATAGTCCCTTACCCCATTCCCTGTGTTGATCCTGTTGTATTTAATAATCTGCACTATTTTTCTTACACACAAGTCTTTTATAACATTATAGGCTGATTATTCTTAGTCCCTTGCAGCGAAGAACATCTTTGCTTGTTGCACTTTGAACTCTAAAACAGTCTCTCTCTTCTGGGCTGCTATTTCAGGAAGTACACTCGGAGTCTAATCCTAAATGGTCCTGAATGCCCATGGCCACATCACTGGACACTATGTGCACTCGGCACCCTGCTGAATTAGATGTTTTGTTATGCGAGGATGTTTCCCAAAAATAACAGCCTAAAAGTGAAGTGCTGAGTGCTACATAAAATGCCCCTGATGGGCAGTGGTAGTTAGGGTAACCTTGGAAATGCCAAAATGTACCATCTGTGATGGGCCACAAGCTTTCCATCTGCTCTGCAAAAGCAAACATGGAAAGTTATCGTCTCATGGTTAGAACATGACACGGACTGCCAGAATTCCTGGTTTCTAATCCTGACTAACGGTGTTGCCTTGAATTAAACCACTTAACCCATTGTGCCTCAGTCTGTCTACCTGGGAAATAAAGAAAGGTTGACCTATTTCACTTCAGCACAGGAGGGTTCAACTGATAAGTGGTTCCAGATGCTCTGATGAGACACTACTGTAAACCCAGAGGAAGGTCTGTTGTTTGTTGCCATGTCAGTTCTTGGAGTTGCCGTGTTTATAGGACTGTTACAAAGTCTTGTCACCAGAGGTGAAAATGTGACTTCTGGCCAACAGCCTAACAGAAATACGGAGTGTGAAGCATGTGGGTGGTCAGTTTGGGGACATTTCTTAAGTCAAGTTCAAGAACTTGTTGGCACAGTTGGGTGGGGGCTTTGTTGTTCTTCCCTCGGTCAGTGCAGTTCTACTCCAGAAAGCCAGCCTGTTCGCTCCCACAGGGGTTCCATAGTCACACCCACTCTCGTGGGTTCTGGGTCACCTTTGTTTGGCTTGCAAGTCAAAAGCCGATGATGTTCCTAGCGACTCATACTAACATGATCTATAATCCTTTAGTTCCTAGAAGGCCTAACCATGATCAGATCTCCATTGGGCTAGGCACTGTACATACAGCTAGTAGGAGGAGAAAAGCAGTAGTATTATCCCCATATTACAGATGGGAAGCAGAGGCACAGAGCATGGAAGAGTCACTTGCCCGAGGTCACAGAGATTGTATCCAGGTCTCATGTCTCCCAGTCCAACGCCTAAGGTGCACAACCACCTCCCTGTCACCTTATGAGTTTCCACTCAAGTCTTCCGCACTGATGAATCCAAATGTGGCTTTGTTCTTTCTGCCACCCTGGTTCTATGTCTCGCTGCAATGGAGTGGTGATTCCAATGTTGGCTTTAGAGTCAGAATCTACTGGCAGTGTGGCATCGTCTGGCTATGCCTGAGGATCTGGGCTCTGTCCCCTCAGTTCGCTTAATTCTCTCATTTTAGGGGCGTACCTGCAGTGGTTGACTTTGCTGCAATGCGTGATGCTGTGAAGAAACTGGGCGGAGACCCTGAAAAAATTAATCCCATCTGTCCTGCTGATCTAGTAATTGATCATTCCATCCAGGTGGATTTTAACAGGAGGTAAGGAAATAAAACAGATTTTATTTTCCATGCTTGCTAGGAAGCCAGGGCCAGCTGGTATTAATTAGCGTAGGTTCGTTGAAGCTACACTGCGTTATGCAAACTGAGAATTTGTCTCCTAGCATTATAGAGGCCAAAGACTGATTAAGTTAGACTGTTTACTACAGTGGGCTGTGTTGGCCCAGTTCTGAGAATGGGGTTGTTAGCTCATCGCTGCCTTGGTGAAAAAGCACAAAGCATTGGTTTTATGTAGGGGGGAAGGAAGGAACAGCGAACTGGAAACACTAAAATACTTAATCTCCAATCTTTTAGCGAGCTCCTTTGCACCTGTATAGAGCCTCGCTGAAATCCGTGGGACTCTGAACAGGCATAGGGGTCCATCTGCACAGAATTCATTGCAGTATCGGGAGCTTAGAAATCTACCTACTCTCCTGCATTTCCTAACTGAAGTGTGTGATATCGTCCTGCTTTCTCATGTCATCCCCTAGTTCTCTTCTGTTTTCCAAACTCCTTCAATTCATCATACTCCAGTTGCCTTACCCAGTAACTTCTTCCATATGTGTTACTCTCTGTAGGAAATAATATTACAACTGCCCACTTGAATGAAAACAATACAAAAAGGGAGGGGGGGGGATCTTAGAATCTAAGAGCTCTCAGACTTGAAGGTCAGAAGGGACCATCATGATCATCTAGTCTGACCTCCTCCACGTTGCCGGTCACAGAACCTCACCCACCCGCTCCTGAAATAAACCCCTAACCTCTGGCTGAGTTACTGAAGTTCTCAAATCATGGTTTTAAGACTTCAAGTTACAGAGAATTCACCATTTACACCAGTTTAAACCTGCAAGTGAGCCATGCTGCAGAGAAGGCAACCCCTCCCTCTTCCTCCCCCCACCCCCTGGGTCTCTGCCAATCTGACTTGGGCGGAAATTCCTTCCTGACCACAAATATGGCAGTTACATCCTGCGCATGTGGCGCAGCAGGTACCTGGGAAAGAATTCTCTGTAGTAACTCAGAGCCCTCCCCATCTAGTGTCCCATCTCAGATTGGTTTTTTTGTTTTGTTTTGTTTTTAAATAAAAGATTTTGATCCTATTTGTGGAAATAAGCCTCTTGACAGATTGATTTTTTGTAAAATATTCCCTCCATATGATTCTTAGAAAAGCAGGTTTCTTTTAAACCTCAAAAGCCATATGGATACAAATCTCCATTGGCAGTGACCCAGCTAACTGAAAAGATCAGCAGTTTGTCCAATTTTCCCCCCCAGATCTTGACTTGGATCATTTGTCTGAGATCTGCTCCTCGTTAACTTTTAAACTGCAGTCTTAAAATATCACTGAGAAAAGTTCAGGAATGGATTTCAGTTTGGAATTACATGTCCGAAGGGTGGTCTCTGGAGTATATGTACATGTTGGTACTGATCTGTTTAAATATACTCCTCTTCCATTTAATTTGAATCTATATTTATTATGAGAGCTGGTTGGAGGAAAAGTATATTTTCCTGTGAGAATTTTTTGTGACAGTGAAAAATGTCATTTTTGTCAATTTAATTGAAAAATAGAAATATTTGTGGTGCTTGTTTTTACAAAAGCCCAATATTTTCAGTGGAAAAATAGTGTTTCACAAAAAGTAGTTTTTGATGAAATCCCATTTTAGATGGACAAATTTCTCAAAAAATAAAAAATACAAAAATTGCTGACCAGCTATAATTGCTGTTTAGTTCTTACACAGTGACCACAAGGTGCTACGTGGCTCAGAGAATATAGCAGTGTTCCTGATCCAAAAAGAATCACTTCTTGGGGATTTTTTGTTTATGTACAGTTGCTTCGTATATTTGTTTAGAAGTACAGGCTTGAACTGTAGTGTATATTCCAGATCAGTATTAGCACATCTTCAATCACAATTATTGGCATCAGCTTCCTTTACTGCTATGCAGCTTGTGTATAATTTAGGTTTTGAAAACTTTCCATTGGTTTAAGATGTAGACTAGACTTTAGCAAACTGCAAACTTAATGCCTACATTCGGTATGGGATTAACATTTGAGCCAGATGGTAGGTATTACTGTTAAGACTTATTAAGCCCTTTTCAACATTTGCCTTTAGCTCACTGCTGCAATTGCTTGAAACATATAAAACTGATCGGCATTATGAGATACAAGTGCTCTTCTGTTTTCTCTTTCACCATACGCACACATCAGACCACACACTAAATTCAGTTGGAGACTTGTAGCTCTGTTGTTCATTTATTCACTTGCAGGTCAGACAGTTTGCAGAAGAATCAGGAGCTGGAGTTTGAAAGGAACAAAGAAAGATTTGAGTTCTTAAAGGTATGGGAAAAATTTCTCCTCTTTACATGTAGCAAGATGGGATGAATCAACTCCTTTCACTGTTCCTGTGTATTGTGTATTTAATATTTGGGGCTCTTATTCATTGTGTTTCAGTGGGGCTCCCAAGCTTTCCACAACATGAAGATTATTCCTCCTGGCTCGGGAATTGTCCACCAGGTGAATTTAGAATACTTGGCAAGAGTGGTGTTCGATCAGAATGGGTACTATTATCCAGACAGCCTGGTAGGCACTGATTCGCACACTACAATGATTGATGGTCTGGGAGTGCTGGGCTGGGGTAAGTGCACTAAAGTTTTATGAACTGGTTGGCTAGGTTATGGCTTGTGTTCCTATCAAATCACATATACAATAAAATGACTAAGTACAACAAACTCCTTTGTGTCCAGTTCAGAGGACCCTATAAATCAGGATTTTGTAACCTGATTTCCTATTCCATACCCAATGATTGTAAGAGTAATAGACAAATCACATTTCAGTCACATGTCAGGTCGTAGGGGGATGTGCTTGTGCTTTTATTTTTAAAGATTCTTTACCAAGGGTTTACAACGTCTATGGATAGTGGTGAGGGAGACGGATGTAAAATTTTCAAGAGCATCTAAATGATTTGGGAACCTAAGTCCTATTGAAAGTTTCACTGGCTTTCAACGAGACCCGTGAGTGTAAAATCACTTAGATGCTTTTGAAAATGTTTACCTGGCAACAGTAACTGTAAAAGCAGTGCTGGATCAAAGACTCTGATTCAAAGCCTACACTGATGAGAGGCGATGAAGTACATCAAAACAAGGTTTGATCAGTCTTTGCCAGTATTCTAATACCAGATGTTCTTTGCTTGGACAATAATGGGACAATGCTTGCCAGAATAGCAAACAGAAATATGTTCCTAGCCAATGGTAGACAATAGAAGCTTTGAAATTTTATCTGTATAAGTAGATAGTCTAGCCGAAGTATTTTGTAGTCATCCCTGTACCTAGTATAAAGAATACCTGGGGAATACTGCAGTGATACTTCAGGTGTAGTGTGAAAGCACCTATGAGTCCCTTCGTTAACCAGGATTCCATCAACCAGCATGCTAGGCTCCGTACAAACACAGAACAAAGTGTCCTGGTCTCAAAGAGCTTACAATAATGCTGATTGCTTACAAAGACGCTCATAAAGTTTTCGGTCACACACAGTGTAAGTTGTAATATGTGTATCTACTTTACATAGTGCTATAGATTAAAATCTGTATAAGGAGTTTCTGTATCTGCAGCCTTGGTAATACAGCACTATATCAGCTCATGGTACTTGGATTGTAAGTTCTTTGGAGCATGGGGACCGTCTTTTTGTTCTGTGTTTTTGGGTCCTGGCCTGTGACGGGGGTTTGTAGTGCTAGCTCAATACAAATAATTAATAATTATTACGTTGGGAAGATTCTTTATAACCATGGCCTCATCTTCACAAGGAAACTGTTACAAATAGAGTTGAAAAACAATCGAATAGTTGACAACTTGAGAGTGGTCAGGCTGCTGGTGGGCTGTGACCAGTGCCTAGCACCAATATTGTCTTTCTGTTTCCTGGTACTCCCCCATCTGCCTGTATCCATCTGCTGACTCTTGGCTTGCACTTGTATTTAAGCTCTTTGAGGCATGGGCCATCTTTTTGTTCTGTGTTTGTACAGTACCTAGCACAGTGGGTCCTGGTCCATGACTGAGGTTCTAGGTGGAAGGTACTAAAATAATAAAACCCTGACTGGACAGTGTAGAGAAGGCTCAGTTGTGCTCAGCAGGCATGGACCAACTCTTCTGCAACTAGCGTTTACTCAGGACCAGCTATCCCTGTGTTGAGCCCAACATGTGCTTGTCTGCACTGACCAGCCAGCCTCATGTCCGCTAACCTGACTGTGTTTAAACATGATTCAATTTCCAAATGAAAGTGAACCCCCGAGGGCTAGAAACTTTTTTTTTTTTTTTTTAAACAAAAGCTTGGAACAGCATAAGAACGTCTAAGAAATATCCTCTAGGACCAGCTCACTCCAAGCCCTGCTGTGTGGTGACTTCTTTTCCCATATTTGCAGTAATATTATTTCACTGGGTAGTTAACTTTCAGCATGCATTGCCTCATCTAAAAAATAAATAAATCTGCTTTTGTCTTGCCAATTGGATCCAGGTGTTGGTGGCATTGAAGCAGAAGCGGTGATGCTGGGCCAGCCAATCAGCATGGTGCTTCCTAAAGTGATTGGTTACAAGTTAATGGGAAATCCTCATCCCCTGGTAACATCCACAGACATAGTGCTCACCGTTACCAAGGTAACCAACATCTGTGCCATTGGGATTTCTTATAATGGGCCATAGTGCAGCATGTGTGTTCATGGGGTGATCTTAGAGCGGCTGTATACAGCAGCCTTAGGAGTCCCGTCTCTGGGGCTGCCATCTTGATTTCATCCTCTGAGACCCAACCATGCTGGGCCTGGGCTGCAGTAGTTCTACAGCTCCTTCCCTCTTGCCTGCTGATCAGCCGCACCCAAAATGGGGTGGAATCAGCATCCGGTCCTGCTCCCTTCCCTCCCCCCACCTATCTGATTGGATGGGACAGGAAGAGCTGGCACTGCACGGGCTCTTACAATCCTCATTGTTGTCCTGGTCAGGTTTGAGACCCAAACCTACTCCCATTGGTGCTAACAGGAATTTTTTGCCATTGCCTGCAGTGGTAGCAGAATCGCGTACGTATGGCCTGTTTGGCACTGAGTTTTGAAGCTCTGTTACACACCAAACAAAACCCTGGTCCCAAATGGCCCAGAACTTTGAGGAAGCCTGGCTTCTTGTCTGGATCAGAACCCCGTAGGCCCGAACTGTCTCTAGTGCGTACGGCTAATGCAGTCGGCATTCCGCAGATTAGCAATGACGTTTGAGTACCTTTGTTGGTTCATGTATTACAGCATCTTCGCCAGGTCGGGGTGGTGGGTAAGTTTGTGGAATTCTTTGGGCCTGGCGTAGCCCAACTGTCAATTGCTGATCGAGCCACCATTGCCAATATGTGCCCTGAATATGGAGCAACTGCAGCTTTCTTCCCAGTCGATGAAGTCAGCATCAGGTACCTGATCCAAACGGGTAAGTGCAAAAAGAAACCAGAACTTGAAGATCCAGATTATAAACCTGGGCTCTGACAGTTAGGGGTACAGGGCCTGACTCTGTATTGACCAGAATGGAGTTACTTCAGAATTGACCATTGACCAGAATGGAGTTACTTCAGAATCTCACTGGTATGAGAGAGATTAGAATCAGACCCATAGTGCTATGCATTTGGTCCTAGCACCTTCCTAAACCTTAACTTTGGGCTCGGCAAAGGATCCATTTTAAATAATGTATATGAGCTACTGTGTAGGGTGACCAGATGCCCTTTTTAAAGGGACAGGCCCGTTTTGGGGGGATTTTTTTTCTTATATAGGCACCTATTACCCCCCACCCCCGTCCCATTTTTTCACTGTTGCTATCTGGTAACCCTACTACTGTGTGTCTCGGGGTTGAGCCCGTATGAACTCCAACATGTGAAACTTTCTGCATAGAAAACATCAAGAGTTCAACTCCAACCTTGGAATGCAAGTAACAGTCCCAGTTAAGTGGGACTGGGATTATCAAAGATCCAGTGACTTTTCTCTTCCGGCTTTTCTAGTTAAACATGAAGCTGATGCTAATACGATCTATCCCGTTCAAGGCCCCGTTCTGCATACTTAAAATACCCCAATTTCTTTGTCTTGACTGGTTCTTATTTAGCTATTTCTGGATTTCATTTTAGGTCGTGATGAAGAAAAAATTAAGCACATAAAGAATTACCTTGTGGCTGTGGGGATGTTTAGAGATTTCAATAACTCCGCTCAGGATCCAGATTTTACCCAGGTAGAGTCCTGATCATCATTTAATCTTGTACCTTCCTTCCTTTATTTCTCTCCTACAGGTACACCCCTTCGCTCTCCTCTCTTTCATTTTATTTATTTTTGTTGTTCTCAGTTTCCTCTTTTTTAAAGAGGAATTTTCACAAAGCAAGGAAAAAATTAACAGGACTCTGATTTTTGTAATCTCATTCCCAAAGCACGCCCTGGTCCATTCCGTGACTGTATAGGCCAGAATTTGAGGCAGCCTCATGACCACACAGAAAACTTGAGGGAAATGCTGTCCAGCAATCTCAACCCAGTTGATTTATAATAGGGTGGCATGGATTTAAATGAGGACAGAACTTGCCCCCAAATATCTCTTAATAATTAGCAAACAAGGCAAGATTAAAGGGATTTGATCCTCTCTGAAATCTTGTAAATTTTCTCTAATTGCACAACTTTATCTATAAACCAACTATCAAAATGGTGAGCAAGAGGCTACTGGCGTGATCTTGTGTCCTACCCCTATGCTAGGATTTCCCAGAATGCTTCCTGATGCTAGGATTTGTCTTGAGGGTGGGGGTAAAATTTTCAAACCACCTCAAATCTGTTTGTTTTCAAAAGTGACTTAGACACATATCGTATTGGCTTTATTTTGAAAGTCGATGAGACTTAGGCTCCTATGTGCCTAAGTCACTTTTGAAATGGGGACTTGAGGGGGCTGTGAAATTTTTTCCTTGGGAGCTAACAGTATCTGAGCTTGTCACTCGCTTCAAATGGCTTTGAGAAATTTTGCCCTTAAATGTGCCTTCAACTCTCTCATGCTGTCGGGAGAGAGTTGAAGGCACCCATTCAGTAAGGCGCTTAAGCGCATGACTAGTCAGCGGGACTGCTTGTGTTGAGCATTGCTGCATTGGGACCCCAGTGTCCTTTAGAGCAATGTATATTGCATTATTTGGCTCATTCCTTGGTAGTAGCTTAGAGCAGTCCTGTTCCTCCTGTTGAACAGGTTGTGGAGCTGGATCTGCATACCGTCGTGCCTTGCTGTAGTGGGCCCAAAAGACCTCAGGACAAAGTAGCTGTGTCAGAAATGAAGAAGGACTTTGAGACCTGCCTGGGAGCCAAGGTAAGGGCACGTGGCATTGCAAATGGAAAGAGGTTTGTCTTCTAGAAGCTATCTGTAGTGCTTAGTCACTAGACAGACAGGTCTGCGTCAATCAGTTCAGGACACTTTGTGTACAAATGACCTTGCATGAATGTTGCTTCCTGGTTATTTTCAACGGTAGCCTAGAAGATAACGCTAAGGAATAAGAACAGGAGTACTTGTGGCACCTTAGAGACTAACAAATTTATTAGCTAAGGAATAAGTATTCTAAAGTGGTGCTTCTCAAGTTATGGGTCATGGAACATGGGTGGTCCGTGGATCTGCCCCTGGCCCATTAGCGAAGCGTTTGCAGTATTGAAGTAGTGACTCAATCTGATAATGGCATACCAGTCTGAGACTGCAGGTTTCCAGAAGTGCTTTTTGCCCAGCTAAAATTAAAAAAAAAAAATCCTAAATGCCTTTTGCAGTCCATCCCGTTAAAAACAGCAATCAATAGAACTGCATCTAGGATTTTGATTAGGACCCAAGTCTAAACACCCCTAAATTCTGGGGAATCTCAGATCTGAATCCAGATCTAAACTTTACAGCTCAGGCTTATTCCCTGTAAAAGCCAATACTTATGAAGAATGCTCTGGTTTTCAAATCCAGCTGAACGCTCCAGGTTTTGCTATGCCATTCAGACTTTCTATCCCAGTCCGTAGCATTGAGAAGCTAGTTCTCTCCCCTTTTTTATAAGACTCAATCTTTTGTCTAGTCAGCTAGATCTTGACACAAACTTCAGACCACTCAGTGCTAATTGTATGAAATCTTGGGCATTCGGGCCAAAATCCCAGGTCTGACCTGAGTGACCCAGCTCGGGGAGTGGGGTGGCTTCCTAGATCCTGATGCTGTGCGCTGATGTACAGTCTGAACTGGGATCCAAGAGACACAGGAGCAGAGTAAAGGAGTTCTGGTGTCTTCCTGTGCAAAATCCCACCCTGTGTTCTACTGCAAGAGGCTGTAGATCACTAAGGGATGAGAGGGTAGGATTGGCCCCAATTAAGCAAATGTGACAGCCTCCATGTTGGTTGACATGCTGGGGACAGAAGCAGGAGCCTCCCGAGTTTAAAAGCAAGAGCTGCTACGTCTTGTGCTGAAGCTGTTACACACTCATCTTCTGTGGCTTGGGCACGAGGGGGCCTATAACACACAGTGTGTCACCAAACACTTTTCCTTCCCCTTTTAAAATACAGCTGTTTTCTGGTACCATTCTGTCTCCCTTTCCCAGTTCACACACTAACCATCATCTCCCTTTGTTTTGATTGTCCCCCTTTATAGCAAGGTTTCAAAGGATTCAGTGTCGCCCCGGAACGTCACGGTGACCGTGTGAAGTTTGTTCATAACGGCTCTGACTTTGAGCTCACCCATGGTTCGGTGGTGATTGCTGCCATTACCAGCTGTACTAATACCAGCAACCCCTCAGTTATGTTAGGAGCTGGTAAGTGTGTCTGATCATTTGCCTGCAGCAATTTCTCTGTAGTTTTTAGGTCTGGGTCATAAAAGCAAACCCCATTGTCATTGAAGGAATCACATCCCTTTATGCCAGAGCTGAAGTTAGCCCATAGAGTTGGCAAGAGGAATCCAGGGACCAATATTTGGGCTGATACCTGGAAACTCTGGCTGCTAATCACATGTTTTTTTCCTTGCGCTGACAAGTCTATAAGTGCGGTGAGTTTCATTTTGCACTAATTATCACCTGCCTCTGCTCTCTCCTTCAGGCGTTTGATGCAGTGCTAAGCAAGGGTGGTGTCAAATTGCTTTGTCTGTACGGTAGCCTAGATCAGGGGTTCTCAACCTTTTTCTTTCTTAACCCCCAGCTCCCCCGAAGATGCCATAACAACTCCACGGCCCACCAGTGCCCCAACAACTGTTTTTCTGCATATAAAAGCCAGGGCAGTTGCCTGGGGCCCCACACCACAGGGGGCCCCGCAAAGCTAAGTTGCTCAGGCTTCGGTTTCAGCCCCAGGTGGCGGGGCCGGGCCTGGGCTTTAGCCCTGCACAGCAGCGCTTCAGCTTTCTGCCATGGGGCCCAGTGAGTCTAACATTAGTCCTGCTTGGCAGATCCCCTGCAACCTGCTCACAGCCCCTCAGGGGGCCCTGGACCCCTGGTTGAGAACCACTGGCCTAGATAATGTATGTTTCAGTCCTGCTGCCATTCAAGTCAATGGTGATTTTGTAATGGATTTTAGCTGGAGGCTAGGCTCATGTATGTGTTGGAATTTGCATTGAGCTGCATGGTACACAGTCCCAAGAACAGCATTCTCTTCAGTTGGAATTGCTCAGTCCCCGAGGTTCCTTGTTCTAGATCTAGTACTCTGATAGCAATGATGAAACTCTTCGGCGGTCATTGGATGCTTCTGTCTGATGCTCACCCTCCCATTCATGCCCTGGGGGAAAAGGGAAGAACTTCTCACTCACGTTCCTGGTTTCAGTTTCTTGTTTCCTTCTCTTCTCTTTTCATCTTTGTGCCAAATGCTGGCTGGCCGCCATGTTTGTGCATGTGCCAGAAAACCTTGGGTGGAGGAATGGCCTCATTTTGCCCCAGTTCTGGCTCCCCTCCAAAGGCACACAAAGGTGACTCTGTTGTTCCTCTGTGATTGGAGCTGTGGAAGGACATTCAAGGTCAGAACCTTGCGGGAGAGGGGATGAAAGAGAGCAGGCAAGTGGGTGTAAGTTGTGTAGTTGCTCCAGGACCTGGTTGTGGGTGCACTCCTCCTCTCCCTCCCCCCGCCCCTGCCGCACTGCTCCTGCCAATCATCTGGGTGTGGGAGGGCAGTTGTGCACTTGTTCAGGACTGGCCAGAATAAAGATGCATGTTCACACTGCTGTTGCAAGTTGCACATTATGCAGCACTCAGGTGGTCGTCATGTTTGGTTTGTTTTCCAAATAAAAAACAATTGCCAATATTCTAGGCTGAGCGGGTAGCAATGCCTGTAGTTAAGGCTACCCATTTTAAGACCCTCTTTTCAGTTGCTTATAACTTTGCCAGACTTAAAAGGTTTGGCTAAAACAGTTCAGCCCAAGCAGCCTTAATTTGGCTCCCTTGTGCATGTGCATTAGGGTAGTTGTCAATTACGTTGTCATATATTCTCCCTCACTCCCAGGATCCCTGCCTCATTCAGTGCGCAGGATGGACCTGCTCTGGGGATGAAACAGGGTTGTGTAATAAAGGAGACTGTCTGTCTGTAAAACCTGGAGCTCATTTGTTGCACAAGTTGGAATTTGGGGAGTGAATGAGGCAGGGAGCTGCAGGAAGAGGCAGGATGGTTTCGGGAATTGGAGTCTGTGCCTGCCTCTGCAACAGAGTTCCTATGTGATGCTGAGCAAGTCACTTAAACCAAACTATTCACATATGGTCACTAACTGTTCTTCATTCTTGGCTTGAGACCCTGGGTCTGATTTATAGAAGTCCTGAGTGCTTACAGCTGCAACTGAATCAATGGGAGCTGTGCTTTGAACATATAAAGTGCTATATAATAAGTGTGCTGGGAAATCGGGTCCTAGACATGTCAAATTGGGCACCCAAAATCGGTGGCTGATTTTGACATTAGTCTCTCTCTGCCTCAGCTCCCGATCTTTACTAATACCTCTCCCAACCTAACAGGTGTTGTGAAGATAAACTCACTAATATTTATGGAGAACTCAGACATTATAGTGGTGAGTGCATAGAGAAGCCCATGAGGAAATGGATAATTGTCTTCAGTGTGCAGTAAATAAGGCTTGGGGCCGCACATTGCACAATAAGGAGAAAACAAAATATTGAATAGCTGCTCATTCAGGGAGCACCATCCATCCCATGCACTGAATGAGGCAAGGGTCGTATGGCAAAAATAGTATGTGATCGTGCAATTATAAAGATTGTATCATAATACGGACACGCACGGGAGCCGAATTAAGATTTGCACAAGCAACCTTAATTCTGTCACTGCCTAACTTTTGAGTGTTGGTTTGACTTGCAACCTTAATAATGTTCTTTTAACAGTTTTGTGTGTTTTTAAATATGTGCCATTTTCAAACTGGGTGTCTAATGTTAGGCTCTTAGGCCCAGATTTTTAAAGGTATTTAGGTGATGCTGTACTCAGCGTCGCAATGCCTAACTGATTTAGGAGCCTAAATCTCTTTTTCTTTTCTCTCTTTCCCCCCCCCCCCAAGGGATTTAAACATTAGGGAGTAAATTTAGACTCATGCCTCAATCCCTTTTGCAAATAAGATGTAGGTTCCTAAATCAGTTAGGCATTGCTGTGCTCAGCATTGCAAAGCCTAAATGGCTTTAAAAAAATCTGGGCCTTAGTTTTATCTCAGCACCTCAGTGTAGCCCAATTTTCAGTTTCTGAGCACCTGCAGCTCCCATTGATGTCTCTGGACGCTGTGAGCGCTCAGCACCTCTGAAAGTTGGGACGTTTTTTATTTAGGTGTCAAGCCTAAATAAAAGCCTTCAATTTGATCCATTAGTGTTCTCTGCAATGACCTGGTGGTCTGTTTGCATCATCCAAACTGACCACGGCAGCTGGCAAAAACTAGCCACCTTTTGTTAGCAGCCTCATCGGAGGGGTCACAGGTTTTAGAGACACTGAGCTGTCCTCTTGCCCCAGCGACACAGAGGTGGGCACTGTGATCCAGCTTGCAGGGCTGCTGTGAATAAATGGCAGGCTTCAGTCTCCAAAGCTGTCAACTCTGTACCATCAGCACTGAATTCGCCTGTCCACAGACAAAAAGAATAAAATGTCCAAGAGAAGAATTCAGGCTCTGGGTAAATATATTCTTGTTAACAAGCTCTAAGAGCTGGACTGTGATACAGTGC